CCAGCCCCAGAGCACTGAGTGCCACGTCCAGTCATTCCCTGAACACCTCCAGGGATGGGGACTCCACCCCCTCCCTGGGTAGCCCCTTCAAAGCCTGACAGCCCTTTCCACAAAGAAATTCTTCCAGATGTCCAGCACTCCTGTGTGGTGCACGTTCATTTTGTATTGGAGCACAGATTTTCTCCCCTGAGGATGGTTTGGAGGCCACAGCCACGTGAGGGAAGGCTCCAAGTCAGATTACCTTGAAGATAAGCTCCCATTTGGAGCTGTGTTGTCCTGGTGTGTCAGCAAGTACAATCATATAGATGTTATCAAGTAATAAAATCTTTACAACACATCCCATGAACTGTGCAGATAAAGGGGAGATGGTTATTGGGGTTTGGACAGAAAAGTCCAGAAGAGTAGTTGTAATGATTGTATCTTTAGGATTGTCAGTTATTAACTTTATTTAAACTGTAGCTACTTTCCAAATAAGAAATCTATAGAGGATGTATCTTTATCTCAGTTTTTCGGCCAGAAGACTCTGCAGATAAGGTCGAATTATGTCTTCCATTTTAACAACCTTTTAAATGTTGTCTGTATTAGACTAAAACCATTGAGCCTCAAAATATTCCACAGTGGCTCTGAATCCAAAGATGACATTTCAAAGAAAACAATCTAGTTTTGTGGGAACCAAATTGAGAGTAGCCAAAATTAGTTTTACTGTGCATTTTTAGGTTACCTGAGTAGAAACTGGTATAAAAATATTCAAGACTTCTGTTGTAGTTGTTGTTAAACTTAAAAATCAACAAAGCCTCCAATTCCTGCCATTTGTCCCCACTCCATTTCACTGGATACAACTGATAATATTTGGTATGGGATAACTAATTAAAGGGAAGAATCCTAAAGAAAGACAAGAAGACTTAAATCCACAAGAGGTTGCTGGTATCAGGTATGTTTTTCCTTAGGTTTAGTTCTCTGTCTTTAGTTGCCCAGCCCAGAGCTCAGCATTCCCATCGAGGTACCACTTGGAGACCAGGAACACCAGTCAGACCTGGACACTTCCCACAGGAACTCTGCCAGCTTGTACAGCTTGAATGAGTCACTTGGTTGGGTTCCTTTCTGGAAAATCCCTTTCTGGAGAGCCAAACAGGCTGAAGGTTTTCCTGACAGAGTGTTTCAGCAGGAAATAATTGAATTTTCTTTTAGGGAGTCCCTCAAAAATCCAGTATTTTTGGCAGATCTGTATCTTCCTCCCCTGCAAATATTTCTATCTCTAGTAGGATCCTTTTTCTCCCATTTTTGTTAGGCAGATCCATGTCCCATCGGGGACAAGGACAGGGACTGGGCTGTGTCACCTGTAGAGCTGGCAGGTGGATTTCTGTTAAATATTTGAACTCTGTACAAGCTGTTTGATAATTCAGTCACATCTTGTTGGTAATTACTTCTCTCTGCTTATGGCTTAAGAGCAGTAACACCTCGGACTAGACTAAATGGGTACTTAATAAGGCAGCAGAGTAACAGAACTCCCCTGGAATCACACATTCCATTAACACCAAACGAGTTCATTCTGAATTCGTTATGAATGATTGCTCTGAGTACCAGAGGAATTAATAATCATTAGCCATTTACTGTGGAGGGTTGCTGAATAATGGCCAGATACAGCTGTTTTAAGCCTTTAGAAGGTTTCCTGAGCAAGTTTCATTCTGAGAGAATCATTAAATGTAACTTTCTGTTCACTGGAGACTTCCCACTTACATTTTGAATGTGTACCCCCAGTTCAGTTGCATTCCAGCTCTAAAAGCACTTCAAAGACACACAGCCCAGTTCATTCACCGATGGAATTACTTCCCTTATCTCCACGCTGTCTCCCAGTGTATCTCCCTGGCTTTGTACAGCACAGCTGAGAGGTTACTAAACTCTAAAGGATGCTGGGAGGCATTCAAGGGCAGGGCGCTTCTGACAGACAAAAGGAATGCAAAAGCATTATATTTATGACTTTGTGGCAAGTAAATTCTCAAAGTAAAGATATTCAAGGCCTTTGATTTGGTTCCTTAAAGCTCCCTCTGTTCCCAGCAGCATTTGAAGACTCAACTGTTTTGCATATCAGAGGTAGATGACTTGGGAGACGCAGGGAATTAACTGCTCACTTTGGATGACCTTTTCCTTCGGGAATGAGCTTCCACACAAGTTTTACTTCTTTGACAACTTATTCATGCTAACTGTCTACAACTGCAGCACATTTGCAATTTACATCATCCTGATAAATTCAAACACAGTGTTGAGCTTTTCTGCATAACCTCTCATTGTAATCAATGAATTGTATCATAGAATCACAGAATATCCAGGGCTGGAAGGGACCCTCAGGGATCATCAAGTCCAACTCCTGGCCCTGTACAGACACCCCAACAATCTCACCATGTCTCTGACAGCGGTGTCCAAACACCCCTGGAGCTCTGTCAGCCTTGGGGCCGTGACCACTGCCCTGGGGAGCCTGTTCAGTGCCCAACCACCCTCTGGGGGAAGAACCTTTTCCCAATATCCAACCTAACCCTGCCCTGACACAGCTCCAGCCACTCCCTGGGGTCTTGTCACTGGTCTCAGAGAGCTGCCCTTCATTAGGAAGCTGCAGATCCCAGTCAGGTCTGACCTCAGTCTCCTCTTCAGGATGAACAAGGTGGGGCACATTCCCTGCCCCACAGGCACTGGCAGGTGCCCACCAGACGGACCAGGATGCCATGGAATACAGAGTTTTGGGTTGACCTACACAAAGCACCTCTGGGAATGCAATGGATGGGTAGTGCCCAGTGTTCTGAAGGCAATGTCCCGTTTCTGAAAGCTCTTTTCAGCTTTTACACCTGAAGCTTTTTACTCCTTTGCTTTTCTCTGTTACTCACCTTGTACCAGGGAAATGTCCTTATTTTTTCACTGGACTCAATTACAGCTGTTATTCAGTAGGATTTGAACTGAGTTCTGTAAAGCAGAAGTAGAACATAACCAGGATTGTTTGCAGCAGCATGCAGGCTCCACACTATAATAGCTGGAATGGGTATATTTAAATAAATACTGTATTTAAAATGCCTGTATGTAATTCTGTTTTAACTATTTAATATTAACTATTAATATTAACTATTAAATTATAAGTGGTAATTCTGTAGTTCTCTGCACCATTTAGCTCAGTGCCCAGCTCACCTGCTGTACAGATGTGCAAAAGCCACATCACGTGCTCACAGCTCTGGAGAGGCAGGAAAATTAGGAATATTGTAAATACAAAGTGGAAGATCATTAAATGGATACTGATTTTAGCTGAAACTGAAGAGACAGAGGCTTGGGTGAGTAACCTGATCCATTGTGCAAGTGACTGTAACTTTAGTAAAGTCAGAGGGACTCAATTTCATTTATTCTTGGAGTAAATGTTGTCCTGACTCAGTACTTGTAGATTGCTTAAGGACACTCTTCATTCTGCAACACACTATTGAATTCCATTACATTTTGTAGCAAAAAAAGCAGGAATGAAAATATGGACTTATTTCAGAATGAGTGAGAAGAAACATGGGTGCAAATTCACAGTGCACATTAAAAACTCCTCTGCACAGACAGCAAGAGGCGATGGCATCTTTCCCCAAAACCTGTTCTAGACTGATGCTGCCCCCGGGCAGCCTGGCAGAGCAGCACCTTTATCAACACTTTACCTTCGTGGTTTGGATGGGGGTTTGTAACCTGCTCTGGAACTCCCATGCACAGCGCAGTGTGCAGCTCCTTGGGGGTGAATAAACTCGTACTCAGTGTGTGGCAAGAGCGACCCAACCAGTCAAATAGTTATTCATTGCTAATTTCCTGTACTCCACACTTGCACAGTGGCTCCGTGCCCACCACGCTCCCACAACTCTCGGTGTTGTAGAGTTGTGTGGATGTCAGCACTTTCCTATCGCTGCACAAGGCGGCTTATCAATAAAATCTGATCTTTATAGAGAGAGAATATAAAGGCTCAAGTACTGTTCATATAATCTGATTATCTCTTTCGTTTTACACAGAACACTGTCGTTTTCCTTATCCAGTCTAATCTCTCTCCCAAGGTCCATGTGGTGTTACCACCTCAGTGGCATTGTCCTCTGGGAAGTTTTATGTGACAGAAGAGTTTATGGCTTGAGTTCACAGACCTTCTTCCCAGCGTTGTGCAGGTCCCTCTGGAACACTCAGAGTTCAGTGCAAGAGGGTTTTTTCACTCTCACCTGAGGATAGTCTCCCCAGTCACCCTCTCTCCAGGTGGGGTTGGACACTGGGGAGCTTTGGCGAGCTCTTGGCATACACAGGGGGAGGTCAGGAATCTTATCTTGGGGACTTGCTCAGCCAGTCGTGCTGAGCTACTGGAAAGTCCCATTAGAAATTCCCTTCTTGCTGGACTCAGGCTCCTCATTAATCAGTCAGTGTGTTACTCTTGAAATTGTCTCATTTTTCCCCTGAAAGAATAAGTTTAGAAACTGCAAAAATTTTCCTGAGGCAGGAAATGTTTTCCCATTCAAATCTCAAACCCGGAATCTTGTCATTGCTCATATCCTACCAGAATTACTTTGGAAATCGGGCAGCTTGTTTCTTATTTTCATATTTTAATTAATATAGGGTTTGCTTCCAAACAAAACAAGGCTGTGATCCCAGGACACTGCTTTGAAGACATTTTCTCTCTGTTTCATTATAACTCATTTTACCTTTATTCCATCCTGAACACAAAAACAGTGGAATCTTGGAAGTAAAAATATATCACTTTGTTTAAATATGCACGAAAAGGAAAATTGAGCTTGTGGCCTTGATTTCTGCTGATCTCCAGATTATTCTCAAGGATGTTTCATTGCATGATAACCTTGATTTTCACACAAGTCAATGGCATTGATGCGAGTGACTCACATGGGTCATAAAAATACATTTGCAAGGGGTGTGGGCACAGGTGGGCTGAGCAGCTTGAGCTGCTTTATAAAACCCAGGGCCTCAGCTCATCTGCACTGACCCGTTCTGGTCATTCCAGCTGCTATTCCGCTCTCCCAGCACTTCCCAAGGGAAACATGGCATTCGCAGGCAAATACGAGTTCGAAGGCGATGAGAACTACGATGAATTTGTGAAGAAGATTGGTAAGTCTGGCTTGGGGTGTCAGCCACAGGTCATCTATTAGTTAATTTTTTTTTTTAAAGGGGGTTTTTAACTGAAATTATTAGAAGGTTGGAGCATATCTCCTATGAGGAAAGGCTGAGAGAATTGGGATTGTTCAGCCGGGGGAAGAGAAGCTTCAGGGTGACCTAATTGTGGCTTTCCAGTACCTGAAGGGAGCCAACAAGAAAGATGGAAAGAGGCTATTTGCAAGGGCCTGGAGGGACAGGACAAGGGGGAATGGCTTCAAACTGACAGAGAGTAGGTTTAGATTGGATATTGGGAAGAAATTCCTCCCTGTGAGGGTGGTCAGGCCATGGTACAGGTTTCTCAGAGAAGTTGTGGCTGCCTCATTCCTGGAAGTGTCCAAGACTAGGTTGGAAGCGGGCTTGGAGCAACCTGGTCTGGTGGAAGGTGTTCCTGCCCATGGCAGGAGGTGGAACTGGATGAGTTTTACTATCCCTTCCAACCCAAACCATCCCATGATTCTGTGATTCATATGCTGAGATCAGCTGGCTCTAAACTTGGTAGAGAGCTCTGCACTTCCACAAGGATATGCAGTTTTTGTTGTTAGCACTGTCAGCTGCAGGAAATAGTCCTGTTCCACAGGAGGAATGTTCCTTTTCAGTGGCAGCAGAATGAAAGGCCAAGATGTTTGAAGTATCAAGAGCAAATCAGGTGCTCAGACATCAGTGTCTGAGAACAGACACACCTCTACCCTGCTTCAGTTCAAATTCAGCTGGTAGGCTGCTAGGTTTGAGAAACTGGATGTTTTTACTGTTTAAGGTCTTCCCAGTGACAAGATTGAAATGGGAAGGAATTGCAAAATAGTGACTGAGGTGGTGCAGAATGGAAATGACTTCACCTGGACACAGCATTTCCCAGGAGGCCGCACCACGACCAACACATTCACAGTTGGCAAGGAAGCAGACATGGAAACCTTTGGTGGTAAAAAGTTCAAGGTAAATTCATTTGGCTTTTAAGTCCTACAGCCTCAGTTGTTTTTGAATTTAGGGTGAAAAGCAAATCTGTCTCATGACTCGTGAGAGGTGTCCCTGCCCATGGCAGGGGGTGGAATGAGGTGGGCTTTCAGGTCCCTTCCAACCCAAACCACTCTGGAATTCCCTGATTCTGTGATCACCCACCCACACTCACTGCTGGGCTGTTTGCTGGGAGGTTGTTGCTATCTGAGATTGCCACTTCAGAATTAACTGCTACAATCATGGCTTTTACTTCACTGTCAAAGAACCACATAAATCCCTGGGGATGGAATGACAAGCACAGCCTGCAGTTCATTTTCAGAGCTATTAATGAATAGTGTGTAGATATGGAACCTGCAGGTATTGTTAGAGAAACATTTTTCTATTTAAATTGTGAACACATAAGAACAAAAGCACAAGGATTTCAGTCCTGTTCATGAGGCTGAACAGTGCAACACACAACTTCTACCTTTTTAAAAGTAAAAACTTTCAGCATCAGGTGTACAGGTGTTTACAGAGTATCTGATAATAGCAATTCCAGCAATCCCAGGAACATTAACCCTTTCTCTATTACAGGCAACTGTTAAAATGGAAGATGGAAAGCTGGTAGCTGAGTTTCCCAACTATCGTCACACTGCAGAGATCAGTGGAGGAAAACTGGTAGAGGTGAGTGCTCAAATATCCAGGATAGTTTATAAAAAACCTCAACAGCACCAGGCCTAAAATTTTAAGCTTAGAAAAGATCTTTAGAAAGTAAAGCAAAACTGTTAAATAACTTTATCCTTCTCTCCAGATAACCTTCTACAATTTTGCCCAGGTTTTATCCAAAAATTAAATGAACAAACTTTTCATCTTATATTTTTGATCAACTTGAAATGTAGATCTTGCATCTAAGGCACAGTTTTGTAGCTGGACGAGTGGAATGTTCAGACTGAAATATTCCAAGGCTGCCATGACTTTGATTGTATTTGCTGTGCCTATGCCTCAAGAATAGAAAATAGTGCATCTAAAACTATGCACCTACATATTTCTATGAAGTTATTGACTTTATTTCATTCTTAGAAAACTATCTACCTGCAACTCCTCACAGAATTTCTGTAGAACCCTTTTTTTCTTAGTCTTATCAAAGGAAAAAAACAAACCCCCAAACAAAACACCAAAGAAGTTGAATTTCAAGTATTATCTTATTTTGGAAACAAAATGGCAATGCAGCTTTGGCAGATTATTGAAACCCCAATACTGATAGTAAAGCTTGTTAGACAGATTGGATTGCCAAACATCATGATTTCTGATTCTCACCAATTATCCTGAATGGGCTTGTGTCTGTGCCAGTTACAAATGTCTGAGTGTGCCTTCAGCAGGGGTGAGTCATTCTGGGAAACAGGAAAGGACACTCACCCTCCCCGAGAGTGACTGTGTGGGTCATTTACTGCTTTTGGAGAACAATTATCTCACTTGTCTACAACCCTGACAACTTGGAGTTGTGAAGCCACATCCAACCCAGGAGACATCGAAGTTATCCCTAAACCCCTGTTTAGAAGTCGTGCCTTTTGGATAAGGATATTTTTGCACTGTGTATCTCAGACCTGACAAGGACGTTCAGTTTATTTTCTGGATGTGTCTCCTCCCCAAGGGTAAATGTTGTGTCAGTAAAGGGCAGGCTCTGAGCCCATCCCCAGGGCTGCTCACCTGTCACACTGAAACTCTAATTACACTGTTCAACTTAGCTTTTGGTTTGTTCTTTGTTCCAGATTTCTACTTCTTCTGGTGTAGTCTACAAAAGGACCAGCAAAAAGATTGCATAAGCCAGCAGAGCCTGTCTCTTCCAGTGCACTGAAAACCAACAATAAAATCAATAAAATAAAGTGCTGATTGTCCTTCTCTCTTTTTTTGTATTACAAGTATGAAGAATTTTCAGAGTGATATTATCCTCATGTTAATGCTCACTCATTCCTAAATATCTGACAAATACTCAGAAAATCAAAACACAAAAATCGGAAGGTGCAGCAAAGCACTTTATAATGTTGTCCAGGTATTTCAGGGTACGATACAGACTTGGTATATTCCAGTATTTCCCACTTACTTAAAAGAAACTCTATTCAGCTTCTGCCTAGAGAATGGGACTGACACTTCTGCCTGACCTTTAGGTCAAAATGCAAGAATTGATGAAAATATTTTGCCTCATTGCTGTTTGGAGGGCAGAAGTTTAGGGACTTAAAAGCAAGAGAAAGTCAGTTTATTACTCATTAGAAGACAAGTTTCGTAGTACCAGCATGGTTTTCTGATTCTGTCGGTATCTGCTCTTGCCCCAAACTCTTAGAAGACATTTAAGGTTTCACGGACAGACTCCTGTGGGAGGATTTGGAGCTGTATTTTCTCATTGCAATCCTGGTGTTTACCTGGGGTGCCTGTTTCTGGAGGGGAGGTTCCTGCTTCAGCACTTGAGTCTCATTTGTGAAGCTCATCCCCCCCTGTGGCTCAGAGGCCCACAGGTGTTTGTTTAAGCCCAGCCAAACCCCTCACAGCTGCTCCCTCACTCCCCCACCAGTGGGATCAGGCAGGGAATCAGAAGTGTAAAAGGGAGAAAAGCTGTGTGTTGAGATAGAAACAGTTTAATAGGCAAAGCAAAAGCCATGCACACAAGCAAAGCACAGCACAGAATTAATTCAGCCCGTGCCACGCAGGTGTTCAGCCATCACCAGGAAAGCTGGATTCCATCACACACAACAGTGATTTGAGAAGACAAATCACTCCAAACGTCTCCCTCTTCCTCCTTCTTCCCTCCACTTTGTACACTGAGCATGATGTCACATGGTCTGGAGTACCCCTTTGGTCAGCTGGGATCACCTGTCCTTGGTGTGTCCCCTCCCAGAGTCCCATTCACACCCAGCCCCCTCCCCAGCATGGCCTTATGAGGGGCAGGAAGGGCCTTGGCTCTGTGTAAGCTCAGCAATAATAAAACCATCTCTGTATTATCATCACTGTGCTCATCCCAAACCCAAACCACAGCCCTACTCCAGCCACTGGGAAGAAAACTAACGCTACCTCTGCCCAAACCAGCAGACCTTCACAGTCCAGCTGAGGCCTTGGTTTTGTTGGTTTCCATGCTTTATTGTAATAAATGTAATAATCAAAGTATTCTGCACCAGTATTTGAGTTACATGTCCATAGCATGTTGAATAATCATGGAAAACATAATGGATGGCTTTGAAATGGAGAGACTCATGAGGCTGCTAAAGAAGTCCTGGTGCCCTTTGGACTTGTTGATGACATCAAGTAAATATCTAAACAGCCAATACAGGCTGTTAAAGTCAAAGTTGTGGAATTCTCTGGTAATCCCAGACATGTCCATGTACAGGCCACACTCTGCTGGATTGAGACCTCAGACATTTCCTACTTTTTCCCCCAGTCTGGTTTCTCATCCTATATTTCATTGAGATAATCTTGATCGGGATATATCAGGAATCCAGTAAATAAGCTGTCTGTCCAGTAGGGATCATAAAAGAGCCCGTTCTGTTCCGAGTAAAAGATTTGCAGCCATACCTCATCCTCCTGCTTCAGAGAAAGGATGGTTGACCCAGAGGCAACATCGTGGTTCCCAGTGTTGGCATCGAAAGTCTTGATCCGGTACTGCCCGTTGTGGACCAAGCCAATGGCCAAGTGTTTGTTGGCCAAAGTGATGTCGTAGGTGAAGTAGTAAATACCTGGGATGCTGCACACGAATTTCCCACTGGAAGCATTATAATGTCCTCCCTCATTCATCAGGATCCTGTCAAATTTGATGGGCAGCCTTTCCCTTGGGTAGCTCTTGGAGACCGCCACAGAGAAGGCAGATTTGGCTTTGTTGGTGTTACAGGTGCAGGGTCCCGGCATCCCAACCTCGCCCTTGTTCCCTTTGGGTCCTTTCTTTCCTGGTGCCCCACTTTTCCCAGGATTACCCTTCAGACCCTTGGGCCCTCGTGGGCCTGCCTTGCCAATGGCTCCTGCTTTCCCCTTCGGTCCTGGCTTGCCAGGGTTTCCTGTTCTGCCTTGTGGACCTAGAAGACAAATAACCTCAGTTTTTCAGTGAAAGGGTTGACGTGGCAGGTGGAAATGCATTATATCATTGCAGCAGAGTAATTCATTAAGGAGGAAAACCTTGCTAGTGTGAGAATCCTGATGAAATACTACCTGGAGCTGGACATCTGCCTGGACTGACTATCCAGGGTAGTTGCTGTGGTAACAGTGGAGCAGGAGCAGGACAGTCTGTCCCTTTAAGGACCAGGAGGCTGGTTCTATTACCTGGCTCACTTGAGAAAAAGGAGGAACTAAAGAACAAGCTTCAAATAGTTGGGTTTTACAGGAGCGAAGCACGTTTGTGAAACTTTTGGAGCCTTGTTTTTAGCAGGTGGAATACTCCTAATCATCTCTTTTTTCTTTTTTCTTTTTTTTTTTTTTTTTTTTTTACATTTAACATGAAACTGTTAAAAAAAAACCAAAAATAAATCTAAGTCTAGGTGTAGTAAAAGACCAGCCCAGCTCAGCTGGGTATGAACCAGCAAACACTCAGGGCCAGGACTGGCTTGAGATGGGAAATGGGAAGTGAGCTGGGCTGTCACAGTGATTCTGATGTAGCAGTATCTGATATAAGCAGATTCATGAGGATTTATGAACTGTCTCTTGACCTGCTGTAGCAAGACTGGATTTAAATGCAGCTGTGGTTAGAAATCTGTTCTCCAGATTCTCAGTTTTGGGGGTGGGAGAAGGGAGTAAAACGCAGATTGGGCAGGCTGGTGTTGGCTGAAGCAGGAGTGCACTCTAGTGTGGCAACGGGAAATCACCGCTCTCCACCACAGCCGGTCCCAGCACCTACTGACTCCAAGACTGGATCCAAAGGGCAGCCCCACCTCAAGATTAACGAAGGGCTGTTGTTTGCCTTGATTTAGCTCCAGCATGGCCAGAGCAGGTCCTGTCCCCCAGATACAGTGCTATGGGCAGCAAGTACTTCATTTTTTCACCTGGCTCTGTTTTGCCTGAGATCAGGAATCAGAGACCAGCACTTTGTCTCTATCAGAACAGGGCAAGCCTCACTTTGTAACAAAATTAAGCCAATGGGAATTGCACACAGTGGGACATGATGTGAGTCTGGAACCCCTCTGACAAGTGGGACAAGTTGGAGAGGGGAGACTGGAAATTTCTGGAAGAGTTTCCTCTGGAAACTCTTGGGTTCAGCTCTGGGTGGCAGGTTGCAGTTGCACCACGGCTTTTACACGTTCCCCTTGCTGTGCTGAGCACTTTTCCCTTACCTTCATCTCCGTGCTCGCCTTTATCCCCGTCCTTGCCATCCTTGCCATCTTTTCCTGGGAAGCCCATCCTGCCGACAGTCCCTGGAGTTCCAGGCACGCCAGGGGGGCCGGGAGGCCCTGGGGGTCCTGGCAGGCTGCAGGCCAGCTGGGGACCTTCCTGCAGCTCTCTCTTGGCAAAGCCCCCGAGGATGTGGTTTGCCACACAGGGCACAGTCCAGAGGAGGAGCACAGCAGAGATCATGGCACAGCCTGTGAGGAGGAGATGGGATGTGGTGGCAGCATGTGGGGTTTGGCCCCACCGGGATGGGTGAGAGACTTGCACGAAACTGGGAGGGAACTGGGCTTTTTTTGGCGTGGTGAGGGAGTTGTTTGTTTTGGTGTGATGTGAATTCAAGGATTGGTTCATGGAGTTTTCTAGATCAGACCAATATTTTTTTCAAAGTTACTCTTCCCTAAGTCTGTAGCTGTGGCCATTGCTCATTTTGTTTTGCTACCTGTGCCTCTTTTCCCCCAGAACACAAGGAGCAACAGCAGAGAGGTGAAGAAATCAGCTGCTTGGGATGAGGGGAGTGGAGGAAGGGGTTTGGTATGGCTGTACCCAGCATGACCTGCCCTGCAGCTGTGTCACGGGGGTTTCTTCCCAAGCACAAACCCACTGTGTGATGCAGGGCAGGATTCAGGAGACAGACTGGGAGTCTGTCCAGTCCTTACTGCCTTTTGCCTGTCAGAACAAGCTAAGCCTCACAGCTAACATCCCATTCCCCACTGCAGCTTGGCTGATTTGGAGGCTTTAGCAACTCCCCAGTAGTGTTATGTTTAACTCCTGCACTGGAAATAAGATGTTTAAAGTACTGGATAAATGCCATGTTGGCCTTAGTGTTCTCATCCTGGTATTGGCTCCTGAAGGGGTGGAGATGCATATTTAGATGCTCCAAATCCAGAGAGCTGATGCTACATATTTGTGCTCAGTGGGAGCCCCCAGTTCTGCAATATTATAATTAAGAACATGCAAAGGAGTGGGAAATGCAAACCAGATCTGCAGGCTGGTTTTGGCTGCTAAACCATTTTGTTCTTCAGCTTTCTCTTGCTATTCTTATACCTAAATTTATTTGCTGCTGGTGAAAGATGTCAGTTTAACAGACTTGTGAGATGGAAAACACCAACCAGTATTCATGTGGAGAGTTGAACAAAGGCTTCTCAGCTCATGGAAAGGGAAACAAAATGTTAAAATGCCTGTGAAGTAGGGAGATCACAAGGAAAGCTACATCCCTGCTTCCCAAGAACCACCTCTAACAGGGCAGAAGAGAAGCAATAGGCATCTGGAGGTGGATGACACTCACAAATCGTGGCAAGAATAAATGTCATTGTGGAGCATAACCTGGAAAAAGCTGGGAATGCTTCATGTAGAGAAGAAATGTGAGAAGGAGCACATGGTAGGAGGGCAGCACCTTCTGTGGAAGTTTCTTACCCTAAGTACTCCTGTTACCTTGAGACAACCCAGGTCTTGACCTGATGGGATGAAAAGTGACAAACAAAATACCCTGAGGCTGCGAGGTCAGTAGTATCAATACTTGGATAGATGGGGAATATCCAACTACCTGGAGCCGTGCTCTGGCACAGCTCCCGAGTTGGTGTTAATTAAGGACTCCAGAAGAATGTTTCATCCCATATCACAGCAACCTGTGTGGGATGCAAAGCACAATCACATTCACAAAGAGGATCTATAAATAAGCTCTTAAAGAAATCTTTTTGAAAGAGAACAAACCTCATGCTGTTCCACCTTAAAAGGAGAATTGCTCCTCGATGCAGAACGTACTATGAGCTCCAAAAAGCAAATTGGAAACAGATCAGCATCTTTTCCCTCCACAGTACAGGCAGCCAGCCTGGCAATGGGGCTAATGCAGCATGAGGACTTGTTTTTCCAGTGACATTTTAATTAATGTTTTTGTTAATAGGGTTAGGGACCTTTAGGCCATGACCGATGTCTCTTGTGCATAAAGAGGCATTTCTGTAGGAAAAGATTTTGCCTGTAAGAGTGAGTTGTACTTTCTGCTGCTTCTGGCTGAAATCCCAGAGGGAAAATCCCTGAGGGTTGCCAGATGTGGGGTGGTTTAGTGGCATGTGCAGTGGCTGGATGGTGATTTTTGGCCAGGGAAGCCACCCTCTACCATGTGGTGGAGAGAAGAGGAGAGTCTGCAGGAATTGCTGCTTGGAGGGAGGGAGGAATGAGCAGGATGGTCTCAGTGGGGACTCAGCAGCCAACAAATACCATGATTTTCTACTCTGTTTGCTTTCATTACTTGAGACTTTCTCAAACAGAACAACCACCTCTCTGCTTCACAACTTCCTAGTGCACCTCAAGGTGTCTTAATTAGTTTTTAAAATAATCACTGTCACCATGAGCCCAATTCTGAGCTCTGGTGGTTGCCCTGCAGCATCCCCAGGGTGGAAGCAAAAGGAGCCCATGGGTGTGCAGGGCTAATTGGGGTAAAATAAGGTGTGTCACCAGTGACAGACAGAGCTGAAATGGGTGGATTTAACTTTTGATATAAGCCAGTGAAGCAGTTATACCAACAGGAGCTTGATCTGCTCTCTGCTGCTGCACAAAGCAATGACAAAGGAGGGTGATGCACCTTCCGTCCTGAACCTGCACCGCCACCTCGGCTTTAGGCAGGGATTCCTGTGGCAAAGCTTTCCTGGCTTCCAGCTAAAACCCCCTCACAGAGCCTGCCGAGGTCAGTGCTCTCAGCAAAATGTTGAGGAGTGTTTCCCTCATGGTGTATTCCTTTGATTGGCAACTCTTGCCTTTAGGGATTCCTGTGCAGGCTTTGGAAACCTGAGTGCTCAGTGACTTAGACCTTATTTGGGAAGTTTTCGAAGTTAAGGTTAAGAGGAGGGAGAGGGGAAAAAATAAAAAAAAGGAATAGTAGATCTACTCACCACGACTAATCTCCTCAGTGAGATCTTGACGGGCGCTGGCAACCAACACCTCAGGCAGATGTTTTGCTGCAAGTCCCTGTCACATGCAGAGCCCCAGCCCCGTCCTGCTGCAGCAGCGTCCCGAGGGCTGGGCAGGATTGACTTTGGTCCTTCTTTTTATTATTGTTTTACTCCTTTTTGTGCGTATTTTTAGCTTCCTGCAGCAGCTCCACTTTGGCTCCACGTTGCCAAAGGCATATTTTTATTATTGTGTAATGGATCTGTGCCTCTTCCTCGGTCACGTGGCGCAGGAAGAAATTTTTACACACATATGGCTGGAAAGCTCTTGAGGCTGGGGGAGCTTTTCCCTTTCTCTCTCTCCCTTGCAGACTTGGAGGAAAGGCTCAGGAGTTGAGTGGAGCATTTCTGACTGATGCTGCCCCTCTCTGATGTATTTGCTGCCCAGGAAAGCAGGGGATGGGTAATGCAGATCCAGCTAGGGAACAACTTTGACACTTTATCCTGGAGCATTAGCAAGGGAAGAAAATCTTGTCCTAAGGGTGGAAAATAATTTCTAATTGCTCCAGGTTTGAATTAAAGACACAGTCATGAAGCAGCAGCTTTCCAAATGCAAATTTTGAGAGGAAACTGCTTGTACTTCAGCACTGCTTCAGGTGGGTGTGCAAGACAAAACACAACTTTGTCATAGGGACGGCAGGGCTCCTGTCTTGGGAAAGGGTTGGGATCTTGTTATTACAAACCCCCAGTGACTGCTTCAGGTAAGGCAGGAACAGTAGAAACAGTGGCTGAAGCCATAGCAGGATGCTCTGGGATGCTGCCAGGGTTGGTATCGACCAGACTGATCTTTTTGTTGTGGATTCCTGTTCTGGCCCAGCCAGGATCATGCACAGGGCCTGGGACAGGCGTGTGCTTGATGGCAGGGCTCCAGATCCTGCCCTGCAGCTCTCCAGCCAGTGAATAATTTCTGCTCAGTGCAAACTATCAGCTGATTGGGAGCACGGTGGAATTGTCGTTCCTCACTCTGCCTGAATTCATCCTTCTCAGAGCTGTTGTGGTTTATTTTTAAGCTTTCCCCTGTGCTTGCTTTTGGAACATGGTGGGAACGGATTTAATGTAAAAATGAAGTATGTACACAGTTTGCTTTGTGAGATGGGACCAGTTCAGATGCTCATGGGAGGAGTGGGAATGTTTGGCTGAGGAAGCACAGGGATGTTTTTGTACTGTGCCAGTACTCCTGCAGAGCTCCTGCAGAGCTGGTGCCTCAGCTCCCTGACACTGTGATGTTCCCTGCCATTGAACAACCACCAGGAGAGCAATCCCCCTTCCCAAATCCACAGTCATCACTGGAAATTTCACTGGGAAAAGAGCTGTTTTCAGAAAAGCTGCCATAGGTAGGGACAGACCCAGACACCGCTCCAGTTGCTGCTCTTCCCTGGGGCAGCTCTGGTGATAGGTCAAATATGAATTAACACTTTTTGCCTGTTTCAATAAGGTTTGGAGGAACCCAGTTCTTGTGGAGGGCCTCTCCTGCTTGAGTGTGGACCAAAAGGCTCCAGGCACTGCAGGTGCAAAGATCTTTCCTCAGATTTCTTATGAAACCAGATGAAAACTTCCTGTAGGGTTTGCCATGGTGCCAGTCGGATTGGCCTGGGAAGCCACACTGTTTAACTCAGACATCAATGGCATTGGAAAGAAAAATACCATTATCTTCTGGTTGTCCTGTCCCTGCTCCATGGCAGCTGTGCTGGGGCACCAGGGCTTTGGGATGGGTGTGAAACAGGCCAGGGATGATGTGATTCTTGAACACACAGCAGTCCTGCCAGGAAACTCCAAGTGTGACCAGGGAATTCACAGTTATGGGCGATTCTGAGCCCAGATCTGCAGCACGCTGAAGGCAGCAAGAGCCTGACCTAGTTCATCAGCGTGGGGAGAGGCAGTGCTGGGAAGCTCCTGCCAGGCAGATGGAAAATATGTCTGTGCTGCACGGCCAAGCCGAGCTGCTCTGGGGTCCCAGACAGCTCTGCTGGAGAACATGCTTGGCAGCACACTGTGTTAAACAAATAAACTGCCCGTGCACAAGGAATCAGAGCAGCCCTGAGACTCATTTCTCAGTGCATTTTGCTTCAGAGAGACATTGCAGGGAAGCACTAGGAGAGATCATGTCCAATCTGTGCTGCTCTGTAGCAGAAGCCTCCCTGCCGTGGGTCTCTCAGGGATCCCAGGGAAGGCTCGTTGCTGCAATGCAGGGAGCTGGCTCAGGCTGACAGCCCTCCTTGCACAGCTCTCAGTGGGGAATGGAGAAGGGGTTGAACAATGCAGAAACCAGCCTTACTCATCAATCCCAAAGTCAAACATCCTGACAGCGAGGTGAAGATGTGGCAGATGGTAAAGTACCTGATAAAGGAACAAAAATGTGAAAGTACTGACAACTCATCCAGAGCTGCACAGCTGGCACAACTGGCCTGGATACTTCTGACTGACAGTCCAGCACTTTATACTATAAAAACCCAGTCCCACTTTTTAAGAGAGGATCTTCCAACACACCCCTTCTTGGAGTGTGTGTGGAGACTCCTCCCTGGAGTGGGGACACCCCTCAAGGTTGCTCCTCAAGGCTGAGCCAAATAGATTTGCCCATGGTCATTGGTCTGGGTGAGTAACATCAACCTCTACTTAATAATGTGCTAGCTTTAATATAATTGCTTCAATTTCACTTCAAAAATAGTGCACTATACTACACAATAGTTACAGCTACCTATACTATGAACAATTCTGATTAAGATCTTTTAGTCTAAACATTATATTAATAAATCCCTTTTTTTTATAAGTATATCTAGTTTGCCATCTTTAATCCCATGGGACAAAGTGGTATAGAGGTTCAATTACACCTGTATAACCCTTTAGGCACAAACCATAGACCAAATCCAGGGCTAAGATTGGATCCTGCACTCAGGTTCCCCTCTGAGGGGAGATTAGGAAGCCAGGGGGTCCTTTCTGCACATCGTGGCTCATCAGGGTCTTCCCTAGCAAACTTTGTCTGAAGCTCCCACTGTGCCCATGGGCTGCCTAAAAGGTGGGTGACTGCCCCAGGACAGCAGGTCTGTGTCCCAGTGAGGGAGGATTTCCCCTCCTTTACTTTCTGAGCACTAACTCATTTCATTGTTAGGTACTGACCTTGCAGCAGCGACTTTGTAACCAAATAAAATAATTCAGCAAATGCCAAAACAGCTGCAGTTCACCCAGAGGCTGCAGGCAGCCGAAAATCCAGCCTTCCCATGGCATTGGGCAATAGCAATGGAAATGTGCTCCTCATCAAAGATGAGTGTTGGCGCTTTGGGTGCTTTTTGGGAGATACTAATTGGAGGGAAGAAGTGTTTTTTCTACCCAACAGGCCTCCAGTCCTAGTGCGGGATGGTGATTTGAGTAGTTTTTATTGCCCTGCCTAAAAGGAGTTTGGAAGTCTGTAATCAGTCTGCAGAGAGTGATTGTCCCTCTCCAAAAGCCCCCATAAAAATGAGTCAAATCTCTGTTTAAACTTAAAGGATGCCCTTGAGACCGTTAGCTCTGCTTAGGATCTGCAGCCCTAACCCATTAAGATAAAAATAAATAGAGCTTATTTTAGGAAGACAGAAGTGGGAACCAACCCAAGCACCAGTGAGCCACTGCCAGCACAGAGCAGAAGATGTGTAAAGTTTGGGGTTTTTTCTTCTGCTCCAAGCACCTTCTAATTCAAAATGAAATTCAGCAACCTTTTTGACTCGCCATAACTGGCACTTGTCCAGGTGTCGAGTAACAGAGTTAAATAAGAAAAGACTTCTGAAAATGCCTTGTATTCCCCAAAAATGCAAAAAACTCCAGGCCTTCTGCTCTGGAGTCTGTAGCATCAGCAGCAGCAATCACAGTCCGTGGGGACATGGGCAGCACTTGCCCAAGCCAGGAAAGTGCCAATGACAAATGTCTGGAAAAATAACACATCTGGGGTACAGCAGGTTACCTGCCCTGTTTGCTGCTTGAGGTAACAGCAGCAGGCTCTCTCCATCTTTCTCAGGTCTTATTCTTCAGGGCTTTCTTTGCTCTCCAGCTTGTAAACAAAAGCTTCCCACGTAGGAAAATGCACCAGGAAAGCTGAAAGAGATAATAACAAGCTCAGCAAACTCACTTTTTCACACCAGCACACCAAGGCAAGACAAAGACCATCTAATATAGGATTCTAGTTTCCTAGTTTTTAAATTAGCTTGCTCCAAATATTTTATTCCTCCCTTCTGAAAAAAAGGGAAGGGAGAAATCTTGCAATCCTACCTGCATGTTTCTGAAGAGGAGGGGGAAAAACCCCAACAAAACAAACAAAAATCCCAATTAAGTTCTACCTACTCATCTACATTTTTTTCACTGAATCTTTCTAGACATCTACAGCATCTAAAATGTATTTGACCATATTGTATGACTTCAAATTATACCTACATTAGGCTACTTATAAGATGTTCTCAAAGCACCAGATCACTGGCTCCAACCTTCTTTGTAAACAAAAACACATACAAGGCTTCACCACAACTTCCTATTGAGTGAGCAGCTGAGGAATGGGTCCCTCAGCTCAGAGCAGGTGAAAGTTATTCCACCAGCTCATGAAGAGAGGTCAAAGGTCAAGAGCAGTAATATTTAGCTTCATATATCCCTGCAAATAAACCAGGATTAATTAGACCAGGCAACACTAAGGCCTTCCTGGCTCCCTCTGTGGGCTGGCACTCACTCCCATCCTGTAATTTCCCATGTGAAAAAGGTTAACTCAGAATTAGGGTCTCGTTTATAATAAGCTTTCAGGGGCCAAGGCTCATGCCCAATTGCAAATGAGCTTGTGGTTTTAGGAGCCAGCTGCAGATCTTTCTCTTTGCTTTCTAATCAGAAAGAAACCTCCCTCCCATTCCACAGCTGCAACATATATAAGAGATCAGGCTCAGGCACTCTTGTTTTTCCTTGGATATTTTAGGGGAAGTCTATTTTTGGCTGCAGCCCTAAAGAGCATGGAGAGTACTTGGAGAATTTGTGTTTGTTTCTACTGCTGCCTGCCCTGGCTCTCTGCTGGCATCCAGTGCTCCCCCCACTCCAGGGGCCGTGGGGGCTCGGACAAGGCCCCTGCTTTTTTGGAAGCTCCTGAGGGTGCTGCCAGTGA